ATAAAGTCATCGGGTAGATTTCAGTGGTAATGTTTATCACCTCTACTATTTCATATGATGTACATTTTTATGCTTCCTCCTCAATTATAACTCATCTTTTTAATTAGTTGATTTTTCTGTGTGTATATTACACAGAATATCCCAAACAATCTTATTTGTCTATATACCCACTTCCCAGATGGCACCCTCCCAGAGCCCCCCACCACTAGAGCCCTTTTACTCTGTCTTCCCTCCGACTGTCTGCTGTGGTGTTGGCACCCCCATCCATTTCCCACCATTTTTTTTTTCTAATGGCTAATTCACTTTCCTTTTTTTTATTTTTTGGTCTTTTTAAAAATATTTTATTTTTATGTTTATGTGTATGCGTGTATTGCCTGCATGTAGGTAAGTGCACCTGTGTCGTGCAATGCCCAAGGAGGACAAAAGAGACTGTTGGATCCCCCAGAACTGGAGTTACAGACAGTTGTTAGCTGCCATGTGGGTTCTGGGATTCGAACCTGGGTCTTCTGCAAGAACAGTTGTGGGGTCTCTCCCTTCCCTGGTGGGTCATTGGCCACTGGTCCATGAGGACAAAGGGAGCAGAAGCGATGAACAAACAGGGTCAGGACGGCCAGTGAGCACTGATGGAAGAAAGCCCTTCCCAAGAGGCAGGTTCAGTGACACAAACAGCTCCAGACTCAGTGAAACAGCTCCATTTATTCAGTGGGGGTTAGGGAAAATACAGTGTGGAGGCAGCAGCCAATGCTTCAGCTGATAGGTGCTCATAGTATGCTTTATTTACATGTGGTAGCGGGATCCTATCATCTGGCTATAGGGCAATGTCTAATTATCATATAGAAAAAACCTGGGGGTAGTTTTATTGCAGGTGACTATGCCAAAGGTCATGTAGGTCAGGCAAGAAGCCCCTGCTGAGAAAGGATTGGACCTTAACAGCAGGGTTCTGAGCCATCTCTCCGGCCCCTTTTTTTTTGGTCTTTTTTGAGACAGGGTCTCCCTGTAGCCCCAGCTGGCCTGGAACTCATAGAGATTTGCCTGCTTCTGCCTCCCAAGTGCTGGAATTAAAGGCATACATCACCATATTCAGCTAGATTTGCCTTTTGAGAATTAGCTTTAGACGAGGTCATGAGGGTAGAGGCCCCAGAACTAGATTATTAATGGAAGCCACACAGGAGGAAGAGTCAATAGCTCTCCTTTGCCATGCAGAGCTCAAAGCACAGAGGTAATCTACAGACTTGTTAAAGAGCCCCTCACCAGATATGCAGTCTGCAAAAACTTTGGTTGTAGGCTTTCTAGCCTCTCATAACTGAGAAACAAATGGTTTTTAAGCAGTCTAGTCTGGTATTCTGATATAGGCTCAGCTAAGACAAAACAAAGTCTCCTTTTTCTCATTATAAATATTGTTTCTTCTGTTCCTCAATGGAATCTTGCAAAGACGGCCATGATTAATTATTCAAACTATTAACCCTCCTCAAGCTATTTGAATTGTGAAATACTTAGGACTACAGAACTAGTATAGGTCAAGGAAGAGTTCTCCGACAGTCATTCTGACACAGAAGACTTACAGTGTTTTTGTTGAGGTGGGTTATGGGGTTGTTAACATTATTCAAAAGATATCCAGGTAGGCCATTATATCTACCTCCAGAGTTGGGGAAGACACAGATGATATGGAATGTGCTGAACCCGATTAGTAATGTACACTGCTTAACATTTTAAAAACTGTTACACCTGAATCTATGTTTAAAATCAACATCAAATGGGGGCTGGGAGATGGTTCACCAGTTAAGAGCACTGGCTGCTCTTTCAGGGGACCTGTAATTAGTTCCCAGACACATATGGTGGCTAACACCCATTCTTAACTTCAGTTCCAGGAGATCTGACGCCTTCTTCTGGCTCTTGAGGGCATTACACACACACAGTGCACCTACATACATGCAGGCAAAAGACTCATACCCATAAAATAAAAATAAAATTTAAAATAAAAATTAACAGTAAATATACCTAACCTATCATCTTTTTATATACATACTTGGAAAAGCAGACTGCCAATACCTTGAATTGACACTTCACAATTAGCCTGGTTTCAAATGTTTTAAGAACCTGTGAATAATTAAAACATTGTTTTATTAAGTATTCAAGTCTTTCCCTGTAACTTCAAGACTTTATTAATAGGCTGAAGTGCACGATAATGTCACTATTTAGGGGGGCAAATGTTATTATATATTATTATATTCACATACAGCCCAGCAAACCACAGAAATGAATAGTCCTATCATTTGGATGACTTTATCTCCTCCAATTATCAACTGAAACTTAATCCCCAATGTCAACAATATCAGAAGTTGTGGCCTTTTGTGAGGTATTCTAGGTCATGACGTTTTATTGATGTTACGAAAAGGGCTTGCAGGAGTAGGTTTTTTTCTGTTCTGCAGTCACATGAAAATACAGACTTTGTTCATATTACTCTTCTGCTTTCCAAAATATAAGGATCCAGAAAGTTCTAACAAGATACCATTGTCCTATGCTGGGGCAACTACTTTACCTGAACGCTGCTAAGAGCATGCTTGACTATGCGCAATGGTGCTTGCTATCAAGGGTATCTACATGGCATAAAGCTACACAGACATGGGTGTTGAGGCAGGTAGAGGAAAGCAGTGTCCTGGACTCCAGAATTGATAAGAAAAAGTACTTTAACCACAGGTCACAAGTTCTGTTAGGCTTAGCTAGTTTCCCTCTTAGCAGACAAGGTCTCTGGTTTTTAAGGGTATGCCAAGAGGTCTTGAGGGAGTTTTCATAAGACTCTGCACTAAGTACTGGTCTTTACTTATTCTATTTATGTATGCTAAGGCAATAAATACACAGTAGGACAAGAACTCAGAGTCTCTGTTCCCTCAGCAGAGAGCCTCTTGCTAAGCCCATTCAGATTCTAATTAAATGTTGTGCCTTTTCCTTCATGCTGCTCCATTCCTCTTCAAGGACTCTCTGAACCCCTGTAGCACTGGACATAGCTGCCTTGGTCTTTGTTTCCTACTTTCTACGACTGGGAGAGAGTAAGTAACTATTTTTTAGCTAGAACTGGTGCGTCATGCTTGTAATTAGGCAGGTAGAGGGGCAAGAGGATTGCCATGCGTTCAAGGCCAGGCTGGCCTAGAGTAAGACCCTGTGAGGAGAGGGGGTGGGAGGGGGAGAGGGAGAGAGAGAGAGAATAAGTACCTCTTTATAAATTATCCAGTCTTCAGTGTACTGTTATGGCAGTCTGAAATGGAATAAGTCAAACAGCAAAAGCTGATCTTTTCAAATGAAGACAGAAGAAACTATTCAATTCCTAGCACTTACATGGTGGCTAACAACTACCTGTAACTATAGTTCCAAAGGATCCAACAACCTATTCTGGCCTCCAAGGGCACTGTATGACATGGGTGCACTTACATGCATGCAAGCTAAACACTCATACACATAAAATTTAAAAAAGAAATATATTTTAAAGTTAATTGCACAGCCTTTTAATCTTACACAGAATATTGTTCTACAAGCCCACTTTTGAATCATCCAGTCAAGATACTTAACTTTGCTAAACCAGTGAGTGAGGGTACATGCTTTTTACAGCATTATATACCTAAGGGTTAAGCTATACCTATATCATAAGAAGTGATGTTTCTGTCTGTTATATTAGCTTACTTTTTATATTTTATTTTTACTTTATGTGTATGAATGTATTGCCGGCATGTATGTGAGTGCACCCCTGTTGTGCAATGCTGAGGTCAGAAAATAGCATTGGGTTCCCCTAGAACTAGAGTAAAGGACAGTTCTTAGTTGCCATGTGGGTACTGGGAATTGAACCCGGGTCTTCTGCAAGAGCAGTCAGTGCTCCTTAACTGTTGAGCCATCACTCTAGCCCCTTAGTTTATTTTTCTTGATGAGTCAATTAGCTTTTTTTGTTTGTTTTTGTTTTGGTGGGTTTTTTTTTTTTTGAGAGAAGTCCTCAACCTGTACCCATGGCTGGCATGGCCTGGATCTCACTTAGTAGTCTAGGCTGTACTCAAAACCTTATTTCTCCTCCTTCAGCCTCCCAACTACTGGGATTACAGGTGTGTGAGATACCACACCTGGCTTTTTTTGTGTCATTTAGTCAGCCTTTCACTATATATTGCAAGTTGACTTCAAACTTGCCATTCTTCTAAGCCTCCTAAGTGCTGAGATTACAGATGTACACCACCATACCTAACTCAGAATTGATTATATATCTTCATTGTCCTGCAGGTTATCAACCAGGTTTGTGCTTAAATTAGCAATGTCACTCTGTATTCCCCATAATCTATATAATCAAGACACTGTGAATACATTTATAAAGTTTTTTTTTGTTCCCTGAGTAATGTTAAATAACTTTGACGGATACAATCAGTGTGGTATTTATGGTTAATGCTAATTATAAAATTGTGTTTCAACACATTTTTTGAAATCAGGAATCTTTTCTAAGAATACTCCTGAATCACACTTGACACACTGCTTTAGCCAAATAACATAATGAAGATGACAATAAAGTAAAGACCTATTTCCTAAATGTTTATTAAAAAATCTTAAGTGATTTAGAGAATTCATTGTCTACAAGTGAATGTCACCATGTGGTCTATATCCCCAGGTCACAAAAGGATTTTACCTTAGAGGTTACTATCAGCCATTGAATGGCAGAACACACAGCTCTTGAACAAGAACTGGATGGCATTTCCAGGTCCAGGGAGGGAAGGTGCCAGACGAATCAAGCCTCAGTTGTCTTTTCAAACAGCATCTGACATTTATTGAAAGTAAGGAAAAGGCTTTTGTACAAGAAGAGTAGAAGAGCTGGAAAGAGGACAGGGGTTACTGTGTTGAACAAAAGGCACACACATCAGAGAGACAGCTGCAGAATTCAGAGGAAAACTGGATTGTGGGGGAAACGAACTGTTCCACTGGACACAAGGAGTCACAAGAGGCCTCTGGGGGCAGGGAGGAAATGGTCCCGCTGAAGGTGAAGCAAGGTCCACAGGCTCTGGGCAGCTCAGGTACCTCCAAGGGAAGTCCAGATGACTAGGAGCAGCAGGGTCCAGCAGGGATGGCGGGTGTCCGCGGCAGCGGCAGGGCGGGCGTGTGGGCAGATGGGTGCAGTCCGTTGGTGTGGCAGGAGACAGCTGGCAGCGGTGTGTGCAGTATGTAACGGGAGCTCATCTTGCTGGAGCCCAGGCCAGAGTCCAAATGTGCACGGGAGGGGCTGAGCTGTCAGCCCGGGGAGGCCTGTGCTCCAGAGCCAGGCCCAGAGGCCAGAGCAGCGGGAGCCTGGAGCGCTATTCCTGGAACAAAGGCAAGCACGACGCGACGCGGGAGGGGACAGGTGCACGCACGGGAGAGCGGAGCGCGCGGGGACTCGAGGGGGAGGGAGGCGCCGGGGAGGGAGGGCGCCGGGGCGGCTGGTGGCGGTGAGGGCGCAGCCGCAGCCCACCCTCCAGGAGCCCAGGCCCCAGCGGCTCGCCGCCTAGAAGTCCTCGTCCTCCTCCCATCCAAACACCCGCTTCATCTCGGCCAGGAAGCCGCGGTAATCGCTGAGCAGGGGACTGTCCTTCTCGATGTAGGGGATCACCCATTGCAGGGCCGGGCCCTTGAGGCGGGTGATGAGGAACGTCACCTTGCGCTCGTCGCTGGAGAAGGTCTTGTCGTCCACGAACATGTAGGAGCCGGTCTGCACGATGAACTCCGGGAGCCGGTCGGTGTCGCCGTCAAACATCTCGGGAAAGGGGATCGGGTTCCTCCAGCGACGTCTAGAGCGCCGGATGGGCCAGGACATGAAGGCCTTCATCAGCTGCACCCGGCCTTCCATGGCGCTGTGCGGGCTGGGCTGCGATCCTGGGCGTTCGGCTGGGCTTCTGGGGCTCTGCCCTGCTCAGAGGCTGTCAGGGGCAAGGCGTCGCCGGAAGTGCGTGTTCCCGGAGGCGGGCCCAGGTTCTCAGGAAGGGGTGTGGTATTGATTGTGGGCGGGGCCATAGGCTTTCTTTAGTGTGTCTGTGGTCTCTGCTCAAAGGGCTAGTGGTCATCAGTGTTGGCACAGTATAGGTACTATCAGGGGTAGGGGACTATGCTGGAGCATTCCTAAGGCCTTCATCCAGGAGGTGTGGGGCTAGTATGGTGGTTCAGATCTGTAATACCAGTACTTTGGAAGCTGAGGCAGCGGGATTACTATGAGTTGGAGGTCACACTGGCCTTCAGAATGAGACCCAGTCTTAGAAAAGCAACAGTGCTGTAGACATAGCTCAAAGCACTTGACTGGTATGCTGAAGATCTCTTCATTCCGCAGCCATTCCACCACCACCATTCAGGATGTGGTGGGAGGAAGGTCAGAGGAAGTCCACGGTTTCCCTAGGGAAACTGAGATTATGGAAGTTTGTGATGAGGTTACAGCTGGCCCTGCTGTGTTGTAGAGCATGCATCTGTTCTGGAACTGCAGTTAGTCTAGTGTATATTCTCTGTCTCGTGGTATTTTCCTTCAGGGGTTCCTTCAGAGTCTGATCCTTGACACTTTGGGAAAATTCATTAATGTTTTTGTAGTAAGTCCTTTGATGTGCATTACTCTTATGCTGTCTTATGATTAAAAGGCATTATGAGGCATATCACAGAAATGATGTCTCTCATCAGTGTGTTCCTGTTATCAATATTTTTTCTTATTTATTTTGCACCTTGCTGTGTCACTCAGGCTAGCCTTGAATTTTTGGCAATTCTCACCTCACCCTCCTAAAGTGCTGAGCTTACAGATATGAGCTACCATGCCCAACTTTGGAATGGCTTTACCAGAATAAAACTGAAGTATTCGGAAGGTATAAGCCATTCTGGAAACACTAGGGAATAATTTCTTCCCTATTCATTTTGGTGTTGCAAGAATTCAGTTCATTGTAGTTGTAGAGTTGAAGTATTTTTCTTTATACATTAAGTTCATCTCCACCTCATAGAAAACCATCACACAAAGGCCCTTTTCCTCTGTCTTCAAAGTAAACAATAGTGGCTGGGACTTTCTGGAGTGACATCTAACTCTGTTTCTTAAACTCTTATGAGTTGATGTGATTGACTAATCCAGAATGATCTCATTTTAAATCCAACTGATTTGCGCATATGGTTCTGAGACTTAAATTGCCACTTGCCTGATATATTCAGGTACTAAGGATCAGGACACAGGTATCTTTGGAGCAAAATTATTTCTGTCTACTATGTTCTTTTTCCTTTAGTACAGTTAATTATTACTGATTTTTGCTTGCTAAATTAAACTTGCACCAGGTATGATAGTTCTCACCTGCAAGCCCAATAACAAGAGGTGGAGGCAGAAGTATCTTGAGATTGAGACCAGGCTGAGTTACATAGCAAAAATGTCTCAAAAAATAAAATGCTGGGCTGGAGAGATGACCCATCAGGTCAAAGTGCTTGCTGTGCAACCGGGGCAACCTTAATTCCATTTCCGGAACCCATGTCCCCCGACCTGCACTCATATACACATATAATACACACATACAATAATAATACACATATACAATAATAATAAATGAAATGTATCCTGGGCTAGGATGTAGTTAAGTTGGCAGTGTGCCTGCTTTACCCACACAAGGCTCTAGGTTAGCCACACATTTTTTAAAAAAAATCCTCGTATTCTTGAGACAAATGTCAGTAAATCATAGTGCATCATCCTTATATTACTAAATAAGGCAAATGGATAAATTATGACATATTCATGCAGTGGAATTTTATACTAGGACACACAATGGTGTGGATGAATGCTACAGATAATAATTGTGTACAAGAGTTGAGACACAAAATGATTGGTTCTACATTATGCCAATGTCCAGAAGAGGCATAACTAAGCCAGGTGTGATGATGCATGCCTTTAATTCCAGTATTTGGGAGGCAGAGTGTGCTGGATAACTTTAGTTGTCAACTTGACACACCTGGGTAGAGGGAGTCACAATTGGGGAATTTCCTCCATTGGACTGGCCTGTGGCCATATGTGTGGGGTGTTTTCTTGAGTTTTGAGTGATCCGGGAGGGCCCAGCCCACTGTGACCAGTGCCACCCCTGGGCAGATTGTTCTGTATTGTATAAGAAAGCAGGCCAAGCATGGGCTGGGAGAGCAAGCCAGTAAGCAACAATCCTCCATGGCTTGTGCTTCAGCTCCTGTCTCCAGGTTCCTGCCCTGAGTTCCTACCTTAGTCTCTCTCAGTGATGAAATTTGACCTGAGAGATATAAGCCAAATAAACCATTTCCTCTCCAATTTGGTATTGGTCTGAGTGTTTTGTCACGGCAATTGAAGGCAAACTAGAACACAGTGGCAGGCGGTTCTCTGTAAGATGGAAGCCAGCCTGGTCTACCTAATGAGTCCAGACCTGCTTGGGGTACAGGGAGACTCTGTCTCAAAAAGTCCCAAAAATGGTTAAAAAAAAAGAATAGGCAAAACTAAATGCTTACAGAATACAGAATATTGGTTATTTCATGGGAGAGAGCCTATAAAGTCACATGAAGGAAACATAAAATGCAAAAAAATCTCAAAGTAGCCTTAATGTGGTAGATTAAGCTACTTTTAAATCCTAATGGCACTTAGTACTGTCAGGGTTTTTTTGTTGTTGTTGTAGATCTTTCTGTTGGTTTGGTTTGGTTTTAGCCATTCCATTAGGTATGAACTGGTAATTTGTGGTTTTAATTATCAATTATCTAATAATGCTAACCCCACACACGTGCCTTTTTTTCCTTGATAGTCTCCTTCTAGCCTCAGCTGACCTGGAACTCGCTATGTAAACCAGGCTGGACTTGATCTCATGGAGATCCACCTGTGTCTGTCTCTGCTTCCCTAGTGATGGGATTAAAGACATGCGCCACTACACCTGGCTTACTTCCCCCATCATTTTTTGGAAAAAGTTTCATGTAGCCAAGCTTGGCCTCAAACTTGTTAGGCAGCAGAGGCTGTCCTTGAACACCTGGTACTCCTGCCTTCACCTCCAGAGTATTGGGAATACAGGGGTGCACTGTTAGATTTTTGGAGGATAAAAGGAAAGATAGAGGAGTAGGAGACAAGAAACCAGAGCCAGACCTGCAACAGGCAAGGAATAGATCTTCCTTTATTCCAAGACGATTGGGTAGTGGTTATACAAAAGTTGTGAGACACAGCTGCACTTTGTGGGAAGTTGAATTAGTGCCCTGGTTTGGTGTCCTTAAGGGTCTCTTTCCTCTTGTCTCTTAAGGGTGCATTATATATAGCACTAAAGGAGAGAGGTGGGTTCCACAAACAGCCTCTCTCAGTCCTGGAAGTGGCAAATTGATAAGGCTTGAGCAAGGCCAGGCTGCCAATTTAGGGCCAGTTAGACACTTTAAGTGATTTATGGCTTTCCCTAATGAGGCTTGTGTCAATTCTTTTTTAAATTTAAAATTACGTTTATTTATTTTATATGTCTATGTGTGTGTGTGTGTGTGTGTGTGTGTGTGTGTGTGTGTTTGCCATGTATTATCTTTTCTGGTGAAGTGCCTATTCACATGGTGCTCTCATTTATTTCATGTGATTTAATTTTTAGCTTTGTTGTTTTGAGAGTTCTATATATATCCTGATTCAACTACTCATTAGATAGAACTCATTATTTCGTCCAGCTTTGCCCTGTGTTTTTATTGTATTGCCAGTGTATTTTGTAGTTTGCAAGTCTTTTGATTTGATGAAGTCCAATTTGTGAAATTTCATTTTATTGTACTTTGCGGGGCATAGTTAAGACATGTTTGCCTAGTCTTAGCTTACGGAGTTTTTTTCCACCGCATTCTTATACTAATTTTGTACACAGTGTTGATGTAGGGCCAAATGAAATATTTAAGGAAAATAAGGATTTTAATCTTTGTCTTCTGTCTCAGTAGAGTTCAGCTGATAAGTTTGTGGTTAAGACGCTGTCACAGCTAGATAGGACTATGGCTTTAGAAAAAAACTGGTAACACCTTTGGCACCTATCTGAGCATGGGGACATCACTTTCCAAGCCCCAGACAATTCTAGCAAGCACCTCCAACCTCCTGCCTTTCTTTGGAAACTTTTGAACTTTTTTTGAGAAATGGAGCTTTACTGTGATGCTTTTGAATATATATAATTCTTATTAATATAGAACCCTATAAGATGTATGTATTCCCCTTAATAGGTGTTCAGAACTTTGAGACAGGAGTATCTCTGGGGCAAGGCTACAGCCTAAATAAACTTGCTTCCTGAGTCTCCTGGTGTTATTTGTCCTGCAACAGAGTGAAATATAGATTAAAATTTATTTTTTAATTTATTGAGAATTCAATACATGAATATAATGTAAAATTCACCCCATCCCCTCCCCCAACTCCTCCACAATCCCGCAACACTTTCCTTCCCAAGTTCATGTACTCTTTTTTTTTTTTTGGTCTTTTTTGAGACAGGGTCTCCCTGTAGCCCCAGCTGTCCTGGAACTCACTATGTATACCAGGCTGGCCTTGAACTCACAGAGATCCACCTGCCTCTGCTTTCCGAGTGCTGGGATTAAAGGCACGCGCCACCACGCCCGGCCAATGTACTCTTTTTTAAATCCACTGAGTTCACTTAGTGTAACCAGTGTGTACATGTGTATAGCACTACGTTGGAAAATGAACAGCCTATAGGTGTGTGTGTGTGTGTGTGTGTGTGTGTGTGTATGACAACTTCCTTTGAGACAAAAACATTCCATCGTGAAGGGAAACTCATTAGGCTCAGAAAGTAAACAATTCAGCCGGGCATGGTGGTGCACCCCTTTAATCCCAGCACTTGGGAGGCAGGCGGATCTCTGTGAGTTCAAGGCCAGCCTAGTCTACATAGTGAGTTCCGGGACAGCTGAGGCTACCCGGAGACCCTCTCTCAAAAAGACCAAAAAAAAAAAAAAAGTAAACAATTCAAAGACTTCAGGAAGTTCCTGAAACTGACCAGATACACTAGGCCCTT